ATATGTCCCGGTGGCAGATTGTCGAGTGCAATAGAAGAAGTGAAGAAAAATAACACCAAAAAAATAAAAAGCCGGAAGCATAATTTTCGGAATAATTTGAGGAAATATTTAAGTAACCAAACCCCCTTCAGCTGGTCTCTACATGCTAAGTTGTTTTCTTTTATCTGCGCTTAGTCCCGCAAAAAAGCCCCGCAGGCGTTTTCAATTCACCAACCCAATGATATTCCAAGATCCTTTCGGAAAGTGCAAACCTTTTCAATTTTGATTAGATTTATCTGCAATTTAACTAAATCGATTTAGGATTCACAAGCGGATAGTTTGATCTAAATTAAGTTTGAGTTATTCAGCAATAATCATTCAAGCTATTGCTATTCAAGTTATCGCTATAATAACAACGAGTCCAGTAATATAGTAACATTTCTCTAGACAGTGGCCTGGGGTCTACCGCACAGTAACTGTGATGTTACCGATAGGGTCCGCAATCTTCTCAGCGTCAACGAAACGATCCTTCCCAAAGATCATTTTCTCTTACTTTTTGGTCCATATGTGCAATTCAGCGTGCATGTACTAGCGCTGTAAGCCCACGCGGTCATTCTCACAGGAGGTATGGGCTTTGGCTCCTTGTCAACAATCTCTAATACCCTGATCTCGTAAAACAAGAGAAGAAGGTCTCTCAGGTTGTTGTTTTGAAGAAAGCATTTAATTTACAAGCTACAAATCTAGAATCACCCCAGAACTGAGTCAGTTTTATGAATATCCTTATTCGCTTGCGCTGATGGATCCCTTAGGACGCCGATGAGCATTTTGGGGCTGGCTTTTGTAAGTGCTCGGAGTTCTTTTGGCTTCTCTTGTGAGTGTTAGAATAGTTTATCTAAACAATATGAGCTTACTTATTACAAATATTTAGCTTTGTTTTAGATCTGATTATCATTCCCAACGTTGGAGTCTTCATTCTCAAAGCCATTTGATGAGTGCCAAGACTCTTTTGGAATCCTGAAAAGCAAATTGTTTCGAAGATTGAATACATTTTGGTATGTAAACGTGCCGGGCAGCAATTTTACTAATACGTCAAAATAACATTTATAGTGTGCTGTTTCTTTTGGGGCTTCTTGTTCCCGCGGCTTGGGCTTGCTGCCGAGCTTTGCTTGGCTCACCGGGATTGCAGGCAAGTATCTAACTATAAGATTTTTATCGGTCTCTTAAACAATAATAATATCTATGCTATCTTGCTCCGGTTTCCAGACTTGAACATCTCCCGCGCATATCAGCCGGCACTCATAAACGATGGACACAATCGTAATGTTGTTTGTTTTATGCGGATTCGTATCGAGTGTTACCTTTGTGCCAAATCAAGAAGCTAGGCAATTCTATTTTCTCGATATTTGGCCTGAAACCATTCAACATCCAAGCTGGGAAATCAAACACGACGTGGAGAACCCAACGTAAATCAAATAAGGCCATCGACAGAAAAATATGCAAGGTAAGCTAGCCCCCCAAAGCTGAGACTATTTGTTTTCAAAATTCAAGCACCGCTGCTGTGATTTCATTCAAGATTACAAATTTACATCCGAAAGTAGTTCGGCAGCAAGAAAACGTGAAACGACTGCGGAAAAATACTAATTTCGCTCAATTGTTGTCCTCGCCTGAATACCCTTTTCTCCCCTTTTCTATGAATACCTTTTTCCTGAATCTTGTTATACATTATTTTAATTTGTTCCTCACTGCTAGGCAAGTGTTTAATACAATTGAAACCAGTTAAATTTAAATTGGTGCTTTCTTCCCTTTTGAACAAATCTTGGTCCATTTTGCTCCGAATCCTTCCCCGCATTCTAGCTCCAAGGCTGAATTCACATTGCAGGTACCTGGTTGAAGTAAAAGTTCCAATAACGGATAAATTGTGGCTGGTTGACCCAAGTTTGTACGATAAGGGGTAAAAGACTGAAAGTTACCGCAGAAACCGGTGTGTTAAGACAAGTTAGAAGCTTTTTAGTGCACTGTGGTCACTTTAAATAAAGTTGTAATATTTGTCTGAGAAAAGGATATATAAACCCAGAAGTGACCAAAACTACAGTTAACAGGAAGAACCCGGCTAGTCCTTAATGTAACCTTGCGTACTCGGCTAAACCGTAATTGGATAAAAGATTGAGGAGTCTTGTTTCCAATTGTTTCCAGTCCCATAGGTTCACCTTGATGCAATTGTTTCGGTTCGACAATAAATTTTTAAATACCTTTTGACCAGATCCTTTTTGCAGGCATTCTTTTGAGTTCAAAAGAAAGTATAAAATTACGGGATTATGCCAATTTCGAAATAAAACTGAATTTCTGTGTTAGAAATAGGAATTTGAACTTGTAAATTTGAACCAGATAAGAGGTAGTCAGCAACTTAACTCTTGTTTTTCAGGGAACTTTGATTTCGGCAGGAAATGAAGAAAGGATCCAGTTACATAAAGCTTATGTTTACAGAAATCGAATTTACTCCGTTTTATGGATAAAGATAAAACTAAAACCAGACCGGGTAAGCCAGATTCAAGTTTCCTCTTTCTGACCCAAATTGATTCAAACGCTATTTCTCTTATCTCAAAAGCGACGGCAAATCGGAAGCAAAGGGGAGTGAATAGTTTCTGATCATAGTATTTCTTTGACTCAAAAATTAATTAATGCACCTTTATTTTCTTAAATCTCTCTTTTCTACTGAGTGCTTTCTGTGTATTGGTAATTGAATGTCAAGATTGTATTAATCAGGTGAGTTTTTTTTTTTTTTTTTCGGCTAAAATTGGTAGCAAAAACGTAGCTCTAGAATGCACAAACTTCTCTTTCAGAATTGGCATGTTTTTGGATATATTGTTGTACTTATATACTTGTACTTGTTAACTTCGTTATCGTTAAATTAAATTGTGCTTCCAACCCAGAAATACCCCTTCGTCCTAGCGCTTTGTACGCTCGGAGATGAATCCATTGCTTTCAAAACTCCAACCCCCTATCCGGATCCTGGCTATGTGAATGCTGACCCAGTGTAAGTTTCAAACAATTTCCCAATCCACAATTGATTTAGAAGTAAACTCTTATCAGTTCGCGTGAATCGAATTCTCGAACTATGCTTTCGTGGTGTGCAATAATATTATCGATTTGTAACTGATTATCAAAATGATTACCTATTTTTCTGTGATGTTGACGACTTTCCGAAATTGCTCTAGGTTGGGGAAAGAGTTTTTAGAAATAGCTAATTTTAGTTATTTTAGATATTTTGCTGTTAGTTTGTTGTTATTTCAATTGTTATTTTTAGCTCTCGAAATACTCGGTCACTGGCACCTGCAATTGACAACTATTTCCCAATGGAGATTACTATGATAAATCGGGTAGGTTGTGAAAGGCAAACCTTTTCCAAATTTACCTTTAGATGTCTTGTATCTTTTCTTCAGCTCCAACCAAGTCACAGCTACAGCTTGGCCAGAATTCTTGGGAAAGTTACCAGACTTGGTCTTTGATAACTGTTTAGTTTATGATAACAAGCACTAGATAAAACAACCCAACTGTACAATAATGTTCAAAAGAGGCAATCGTTGATCTCGACTCGATTAGTGGTGGATTCTATAAGCTGGTTTCTGATCGTAGGTCTTTTGCTCACTGTTTTTATATATAGTTACATTCGATTACCGTATTCTCCTCTAATAGTAGTGCACCCCGTCGAGCCGAGTTGATGACTATTTTACGGTTTCTAAGTATTCTCCGAAGCTCAACACTCTAATCCCCCACAACATCTCATCGTCAGCTACATTTTCCCCGACCCCACATCGATAGGTTCTGATAAGCGGTTCCTCGCGATTTCGAGCAATTTAGGCAACGCCCAGGGTGCACTACTATTTGAGAGAATAGGAATTTAATGAAATCATTTGTGTAAAAAATGTAGAAATGCTCAATGCAAATCTACAGTTTTTGAATATCCAATGTTTAAATAAATAGTTAACAAAGGAATAATTTTAATCCCTAACTGCAAATTGATTCAATCGGAAAACCCAGATTATTCGCAGTCTAGGAGAGTGTAGAACGCGCAAATACTGACATTGGAGGTCTTTTTCCTTTTGTTAACTACGGTTGCGATAAGTTTTACTGTTTTCTTGAATTTAAGATCTTTCAAGATACCTTTAGCACCTATCAAAGGGAAACATACCACTCATTGTGTGGGCCGTTCAGCTGTCGATGATTCAACATAACACTCAACATAGAAAACGCTATTACATGCCTAAAAAAGAATTTGATTAGCGTCATTTTGCATTGAGCATTTCACATTTTTACACAATTCATTCGATAAATTCTTAAAGGGGTACTCCGGCCTAAGGAAAGTCAATGTTAAATGGAGATCTGTTTCTCACGTCTTCTTAAGTCTGATTTTCACCTTTTTTAAATTAATTCTTTTAGAATGTAATGTTTTCTATTAAAAAACAAAAAAATATTTAAGATTGCTGTTAAATTTGAGAAAATACATGCAAAAGAAAAGAACGCAAGGGCTAAAATGCAATTGGACGGAACCTTTATATATTTTTCGCCCAAATATCCATGTTTTAGGGTGGGACGGAAAGCAAAAATTGCGTTTTTCTTCATTTCTCTATTGGAAACCTTGTTTTTCATATAGGAAATAGTTGTAAAGAAGATTAAAACGCATCGAATAATATAGAAATGACCGCGATTCTTAACTTTAAGGCCGAAGTACCCCTTTAATCAAGAATACATTTCAAATCGAACGTCCTACTTGAATACATTCTTAATCGGACCTAATAGCTATAAAAAACTAAAGATAACCATTTTGGCTAATTGGGTATCGAAGTAATTATCTAATTATCGAAGTAATTATCTAATTATCGAAGTAATTATCTAATTATCGAAGCTAATCCTTGCATTCAGATTTCTCTCGGCAATATTTCGATCACACTTTTGATCTCGGCGCCCAATTTAACACCTCTTGCATCACGAAGCTGCAAACAAACAAATCCACAAATATTCGAATGATCGTTTACTCGTTTCAATCAAACCCTCAACAATTGTTGAACATGACGGGTATTCGAGCTAATGAGTCCTCGGTGACAACCACACTATTATCGTAAGTTTTGTCTGATTCTTGATATTTGTAACTTTTCTACTTTCAAATCAAACTCTATAACTTTTTAGTGGAATCAAAGAGATTGGTGACTTTAAAACCTATTATTATCGAAACGAGTTGACCCTTTCTTATTCATTCACCTTCGTTGAAGACACCGATGACGATCCATATGCTGATTATTATTACTACATTGTTATCAGTGCTTACAATGGTCGGCTGATTCTTTTTTTTGCTTGACTTCTCGGTTATTTAGATACTAACACTCCAGCATTTGATCAATGTCAAAATGTTGGTGCTTTTGACATGAGTAAGACGAGCATAATTGACTTCTCGGCACAAGATGTGAATTCAACTTTTGGTTATCACAAGAATTCCAATTGTAAATGGGTTTTTGAAAACCCGCCTTTTAACCATCAACTGATGATCAGTTTTTATCATTTTGTCACTGAGAAATGTTGTGATGTGATCACGGTTGGAGGAGCCAATTTGGCGGTGAGTTGCTTGGATGTAAGCAAATCAGGCTCGTATTTTTAATGCACGGCTGCTAAGACTTAAAAAGTTAGTTAGTAATAGGGTTAATACTCTACAGGATGACCGGAAAGTTCTATTACTTTTAAAAGAAACACCATAAAATTCGATTGACAAAAGATCAAATGTAATAAACTTAATTTTTAAAAAGTTAACTATTTTTATTATATGAAAGCAAGTTTTGAGAAAATTTAGACTCAACGGTTTCAATAAAGGATCTTTTTCAAAAAGCTCTCAATTCTAATGACTGTAAATTTGTTATTTCTAGCTCAATTTAGTTGTAGAACGGCTGGTTTTAAAGAAAAATATCTCCTCTTTTTGAATATAAAACTGGATAGCTTTATTTGTGCTTCGACTTCTTTTGATCACTGGATTTGTCAGCTCAACCAGCCTGGAGAACAGAGAGCTTTGCTTGAATGGATAATAGAACCATCTTTTTGATAAATCTTTATGAAAAACGCTTAATTTTAATAAAAAAAGTTATTTTACTATTGTTTCCACTTCTCCTTTCACTTTCCTTTTCACTTCTCCTTCTCCTTTCTTCTCCTCTTTCACTTTGTCTTTTTTGAACCTGAATTTAGTGGCATCGCTTTCAAAAGTAACAAACTTTCCGGTCATCTTGTATTTGTCTTAAAGCTGGGGTTTAAAGCAAGTCACCTATTGTCAACTTTTCAAAGCAAGTCTTTTAGTTTCCATCACACAGCGGATCTGACATTCCTTGGCTAGTTTATGGAGTAAGTAATCGCATGGAAGTTGTCTTCCAAAGTGATTCCCTGGAAGAGTACACTTATATGGTTGGACAAGCAAGAGCCATCAGTAAGTAGAACCAAGAGAATTAGTGTGTCTGTAATTTCAGATTGCACCTGTCCTCAATCGTCAATCACTTTGACCGTCAATCAAACCGCAAGTATCTCTTATGGTTGGGTTGCGAAGTTCCCATTTTGCTCACCAATGGCTTGTAACTCAACAATGTAAGGAACATCTTTGGCATTGGAATTTTCAAGATTTTGTTTTAGTACCTTCGACCGAGATTCTATTCTACAGTTTGATGTCCAATACTCGGCGTCAATGAACAGTAATTTGGTTGTTACGGATTCCACAAAGGATAGGTAAGCCGTTGCTTCAAAAGTCTGCTTCCATTACCCATTTTAGATTCATCACCGGTTCTTTATCAGATACAACAAGTCATGACTGGTTACAAGTTTCATTCTCGAACTCGCTCGTCACCGATCTCTACAAAATGTGGGACAGCACAGGATACTCAGTCTCTGTAAAAGCACTTCCACGTGAGTTAATATTTTAAAACAAAATCTACAAAAATTCAGTGAAAATCCAACAAATTGATATCGATCTATGCAGCCAAGAGTTTATTGTTTTGATGGGAGAAACTCTTACCTATAAATATGATACAGCTATTTATCGACTTGATGGATCAAATTGTACTGGGTGAGCACTTAAATGTTTAGATCTTTGCTTTAATTTACTAAGAACTTTCAGTTCACAAATCACAAGTACTTTTCTATCAATGAGTGATGGCTACTTGTTGGATGTCTACGATGGTGAACTAGCGAATGGAGCCTTGGCTATGACAAGGTAGCAAAATCTTGAAGATTTACCCATAACTTACTTTTTAGCTTTAACGGACCAGCAAATTTCACGTTTACTTCAAACTTTGCCACCATTCGACTCATCAAAACGAATGATCTCTATCGACCGGGATTCCGAGTTATTGTTGCGGCAAGTCAGTTGTACTTTTAAGTCTGTATTTCATTCATTGGACCTGATTCGATCTATTATTTGAACTGAACAGCTTCGACTAGACATTAAATAGTCTTTTAAACCCATTAACTCTGAAACTCTCGAAAAAAACCGATCTACTACAGGGTGCCCCAAAAGTTCAGGTACAACCTTTTGTAAAAGCAGCAAATTTCTAACTTATGTCAAAAATGGTAAGTCTTGTATAGAGGTTTAAAGCCCGGAATCTCGGCTATATTTACATACCAAAAGCTTTCGAATTGGAGTCACTCATATGACAAGTTTTTGAGTGAGCACTACTCGGTCACTTTCCGGTAAACTTGTTTGCAAACGGCAAAGCAAACATGAGCTTTGTGACTCCTATTCGAAAGCTTTTGGTATGTATTGGGTTGGTGAATTGAAAACTGCGGGACTTTGAACTAAAAATTTCTTCAACATAAAACCATGGATTCATTCCAAATAATTTCCATTATTATTGACGACTTCTGCCCATTTTACAGGCAATTTGCGGATTCCTCTTTCGTGGTAGGATTTTGGTTTGTGTGTGAGACAAGTATGAGACTCAAAAATGGAGGACTGGAGATGTCCCAGTTTGAGCACTTTCTTCAAAAGAAACCCATTTTGGTGTCAATGGAAAATTCGTAGAGAATCAAAAAATTAGGCTTATAGCCAAATTTCCAAAAAAGATACACTTAGTAGTTTCGCTTAAAATGCAAGTTTTGTGAAAATTCGTAAATTTGGCATTTCTTGAAAACCATTTTTTTGAATCGTTCTGAAAATTTGGATATAAGCTTAGTTTTTGATTCTCTACAACTTTTCCATGACACCAAAATGGGTTTCTTTCGAAGAAAGTGCTCAAACTGTGACATATGACAACAGCCGCAGTTTTCAATCCATCAACGCAATAAATATAGCCAAGATTCCGGGCTTTAAATCTCTATACAACTTACGACTTTTGAAATAAGTTAGGCATTTGCTAGCTGCAAATGTTGTGCTAGAACTTTTGAGACACCCTGTAAAATCTTAAATCTTTCAGACCCCCAAATCTCTGTTTACTCACCTACAAATGATTGTTCAAAACAAAATCTGTTCTCTGTACCACTGATTGGAAATGGAAATGATATCAAAATCTTGTATCGAGGAACAACTCCATTCCCTGGAGACTATTTGGGGCTCTACGGGATGGATTTAGTCTTTCCGAGTGCTGCGCTTCCAATTGAAATCTATCAGGGCACAACTCTGGACAACAATAATAAGATTTATGGGTAAGTTGCCGAAAATTTGATTTCATTTCAAAATCTTTAGTGGCGATTCACTCTGTGATCCAATTACGACAAAATCTGCGCTGCCGAGTTTCATTTTTGGAGAATTTGTCGTGATTAAACTTGTTTCAAAAGTTGTCGATCCGTCGGCGAGCGTGTTCTTCCGATGCCAACAGCAAGGTTAGTTAAATATTGATAATTATAGAATTTTTTAAATTATTAGGTAATACAGATTGTCTTTCAAAGTTAGATCTTATAGTTGATGCAAATTTGACTCTGGCGATGAATTCTCCTGTTCCCGGGCTTTTGATAGCTCCCCAATACACGGATATCGATTACTCGCCAGATCCACAAACCTATTCGTTTATTATTCAATATGTAGGTTTTCTGTGTGAAATTTAGCTTTATATTGAATGATAAAAGGCTTTCAAACTTTCTAAAAAGCTTTTTAGTTAGATGTGAAAGATTTTCAAGGAATTGCTCTCACATTTCTGAATCCCATTCCTGGCGACTCGAATCTAACAATCAGTTACACAGAGAATGGGAATTTGACAACACAAAGGTTTGCTCTTGCGCAGGTTCAAAAATAAATTTGAATATTCAGATTAATAAATGAGAGTACTGTTTGTTACGTGGAGATTCCTACTTGGGCTGTTTCTTTGAGTTATCAATGGTTTTGCAGGACGAGTCCCTTTGAATTGGTTAACAATTGTCAAAGGCCTTTGTTGATTAAGTGAGTTTTGATAGACAAAATTCAAAGATAGACAAGATTTGCATTTAAAAACTGACTGTTTTTGATCATTTATCATTATCATTTTAGATTTGAACCAATCTTTTCACCAACAACTCAGCAAAGCAAGGTAGCAAACGACTGGAGACAAATTTTGCTTCTCGCACTCGTCGTTTCTTATTTTTCGTGTGATTAAGTGAATCTATCGAAAAGCTTTATTAGATTTTTAAATTTTTGAGAACATATTCAAATTAATAAATATAATCTCCATAAAATAAAGAAAAAGAATGCAAAGCGTCGATTTGTCGACGTGTTGCAATAGTCGTTGAAACAAGTACACTAAAACTCCTTTAAAGATTTAAATTCTTCGGATAAAACCTTTAAAACTCTGTATCCAAATATACTCGACTGTTCACACATATCAACTCCCTCCCATTGGAAGAAGTGCGCATCCGCGCATCATCAAACCGATATGACGCTCTTCGTCATAGAAATTACCCACTGAAAATTCGTCTAAGACTGTTTCCAACTAACACAAACTTCTATCAACTCCTCCATCCAAAACCGCTATCTTTACACACCCAAAAAACCATATCTGCATGAAGAGGCCGCCAATTTGCAATCTGTTCCCTGTAACAAGGATTAGACAAAAATTTTCGACCACGGAAGGATTCGAACCTTCAATCTTCTGCTCCGTAGGCAGACGCGTTATCCATTGCGCCACGCGGCCGCCATGTTCAGACAAAGAGAAACCAATTTTGACCATAATTAGACAAAGGAATCCAGTTTTGGCATTTTTCTGACACCTGTCAATCGCCCGAGGGAAGGTTCCTTGATTGAAAAGACATTTATGGAGTCGATGCCGACATGGCCGCGTGGCGCAATGGATAACGCGTCTGCCTACGGAGCAGAAGATTGAAGGTTCGAATCCTTCCGTGGTCGAGATTTTTTACTTTTCAATTATTTTGAACCTGGGAACTTGTGCACTCATAGCAAGTAATTGAATAAACCATGGATGGTAAAAATAGGAGAACTGTTAATAGATAGTGAATAATGAATAGATTCACAAAATTCATGTTATTGAATTTCATGTTATTCACAAAAAATTATCGCATCGAGTTAGATCAAATGAAATAAAAGATTTCAAAATCAAAAAAGTATCTTTCGAGGAATGCGTTTCCAAGTGTTATTGTTGAATCGTTTTGATGTTTGCCCGTAGGGTAAAAAAGCCGGAAAAGCAACGCAAAAAGCATAAAGGAAATCGGCACTCGGACATAAAATGCTCTGATTGTTTGGATGAATCAGAGAAATTTGTTCAGGAAAAGCTGAATCTTGATAAAATTTTGAATTGAACTCGAGTCATGGTTTAGCAGGCTTAGATTTCATGGTAAAGATTAGGATAATGATAGCAATTTTGTGTTTTTCGTCACGTAGTATCTTAACTTTTTGCAACTATATGATTTTAGGCGAAACTTTTGCACAATCTGTGTGAGATCACTTCTCTTTTACAATAAAATTGACTTCAAACACCAGATTTGACAACTCCGCCCCCACAAATAAAAATCATTTGATCAAAGCTTCACTCAAAAGCTTTTCGAACTTGTGTCCTCGTCCAATAAACACTTTTTGAATGGAGATCAAAAGCTACACTTTTCATACAAAACAAACTAGAGTCTCGTGATTTCCAGCTTTAATATAAAAGCTTATTCAAATAAAAATTTCCATCACATTGCTCAAAGCTCACTCAAGAAAATGCGACAAACTCTTCTCTGCTTAATTCTCGTTTGCTTGATCGGTTAGACTTTCAAACATCATAAAGCTCTTGTAAATTTTCTCAGGCAGTCTATAATGCCAAGAACCATCGGGCCTCCGATATCCACGTTACTTTGCCGCCTGCAACTCGATGTGTAGATCAGCAAAGCCCATTTATAACTTACAAAAATGTTGCCAGGTAAGAAGTCGATAATTTAACGAAATACCTAGTTTCAACTTCAGAGTAAATCAGGGCACAGTTGGGGTTTCTGCACAGGAGACCGGCAAGCAATTTGCATGGACAAAGATGTCACCTATCTAAATGGCTTTCTTTTCTGTCTTGGAAGTTGTGAAGGAAAATAAGAGAATTCTAGAAATAAATATTTTCTTGTCATTTTTATTCGGCAAACAGACAACAAAACTGAATAATGCGATATCTCGTTCATAATCCTAAGTTCAACATGAATGATCTCCCCATCTGCATCATTCGCGATATTTTTCTCTGATTTTTCGATATTGGTACTTGAATTGATTATTTATTGCCAGAAAGAAACCCAGCTTAAAACCTTGAAATAAAGTTTTATTAAAAAATGTGGAAATTGTTAGGAAAAGTTCATTGAGTGGGATCAGCAGCAATTATTTGGCTGAGCGCACCAGTAGGGGCACTTTCCGGAGTTACAATTTCCAATGCAAGAGTCGGGGCAGCAAGAGGCTGGACGATCAGCACGACGGAACAAGTCGACCACATCATTTTGGACACCTGAAATATTGAAATGTTAATGAATAGAGGAAGTGATTGTCCAGGAATGCATATGGCAAAAACCCACTCATTGGTGCATTTTCCTTTTCTTCGGTGGCTGAAACGAGTGGATCGATCAAGAAGAAGAAGCAAATAAGGGCCACAACAGCGACTTTCATTTCGGATTGGAGTTGAGAAATACAAATTTGTGCTGTAGTTGAGGCTTAAAGTTGGGTATTTATACTTGCTGGTTGTTAAGTTAACTGTCATCGAAAGGGCATTCAAATATTTACTTCTAAACTTTCTGATTTCATTTCCGATGATAACTCTTTGTCTTTTCATTGCAGTCGTTAGTTGAATTGTCACTCCTCGTTTTGAAAAAGTTTCATTTTCATTTGTTTTGCATTTTGAATGGGTTAAATGAATCAAAATCTGGTTGTACTTCTGGCTTGAAAACACTGATAAACTGAGGAAGAGAAGGAAAGAAACCACAAAGGTGGAAAGAAAGAAAAAAAGCCGCAATTTGAAAATATTCCTCATTGTCGCTTCAGAATACTTCAGAAGACAAATGGCAAAACACCAAGAGTACTTTTTAATTCAAGGTTTCTTCTTAGAGCCTGGGAAATTGAAGTCTAAAAAAAGGTTGAAAAAATTGAAAGCTGAAAAAGCTTTCACACCACCTTGCCATCTTCGACATTCTAAGTTTGTTTGTTCAGCCTATAAAGTAATCATTGATTACTTTGAACCAAAGAACAGACGTAAAACATTCAGTTTCCTTTTGATTTCTGTTTTCTTATCAGCCCTTTGACGCAACAATCAGTACGTTCTTTTTTTGCCTACGTTTTCACAACCCAAACTAACTGACAACTCAAGTAATTACTTTGAAAGGTCAAAAGCTAGTCAGTGTTCTCAGCGGAAATGAAATCAGCAATGCTTGAGTAATATTGTTAGACTTGCTATCAACCAAATTAACCTTGGTATAAATCCTCAAATTGAAGTCCCAATTTGGATCCAATTTGGATTTCCCCATTCATCAACTAAGAAAGAGGAAACTTGAATCTCGCTTGTGATCTAGTTTAGTTTATCTTTATCCATAAAAGTGTGGGGTAAATTCGATTTCGGTAAACATAAGCTTGGAACTGGATCGCTTCTTCATTTCCTGCCGAAATCAAAAGTTCCCTGAAAAAACAAGAGTTAAATTGCTGACTACCTCTTAGCAAATTCAAATTTACAAGTCCAAGTCCCTATTTCTAACACAGAAATTCAGTTTTATTTCGAAATTGGCATAATCCCGTAATTTTATACTTTCTTTTGAACTCAAAAGAATGCCTGCAAAAAGGATCTGGTCAAAAGGTATTTAAAATTTATTGTCGAACCAAAACAATTGCATCAAGGTGAACCTATGGAATTGGAAACAATTCGAACTGGAAACAATTGGAATTGGGAACAATTGGAAACAAGACTTGCCTAATCTTTGATCCAAGCGCGGTAGCCGAGTACGCAAGGTTACACAAGGGCTAGCCTGGTTTTTCTGTTCCTGTAGTTTTCGTCATAAAGAGTTTATATATCCTTTTCCCTTAGACAAATATTATAACTTTATTTAAAGTGACCACAGTGCACTAAAAAGTTCTTGTCGTAACACTAGTTTCTGTGAAGACTTTCAGTCTCTTACCCCTTATCGTACAAACTTTGGTTAACCAACCACAATTTATCCGTTTTTTGGACTTTTACTTCAACCCAACGAGTTACTTGCATGAATTCAATAGCGGAGCTAAAATGCATCAAGGTGAACCTGTGGAATTGGAAACAATTGGAAACAAGACCTGCATAATCTTTGATCCAAGGTAGCCGAGTACGCAAGGTTACACAAGGACTACCCTGCATTTCCTGCTACTGTAGTTTTGGTCATAATGGGTTTATATATCCTTTTCTCAGACAAATATTACAACTTTATTTAAAGTGACCACAGTGCACTAAAAACTTCTTGTCTTAACACTGGTTTCTGCGTTAACTTTCAGTCTTTTACCCCTTATCGTACAAACTTCGGTTAACCAACCACAATTTATCCGTTATTTGGAATTTTACTTCAACCCAACGGGTTACTTTCATGAATTCAATAGCGGAGCTAAAAGGATTGGAGCAAAATGGACCAAGATTTGTTCAAAACGGGAAGAAAGCAACAATTTAACTGACTTAAATTGTATTAATACTGGCTTAACAGTGAGAAACAAATTATTTAATAATATATTTAAATAACAAGATTCAGAAAAAGGTATTTAGAGAAAAAAAGGAGAGAAGGGTATTCTGGTGAGACAACAATTGAGCGAAATTAGTATTTTTCCGCAGTCGTTTCACGTTTTCTTAACTTGGAGCTACTTTTGGATGTAAATCTGTAATCTTGATTTGTAAATCACAGCAGCCGTGCTAAAATTTTAGCACAGATAGTCTCGGTCTTTGCGGGCTAACCATAACATTTCTCTCCGATGGCCTTGTTTGATTTGTTGATTCTCCACGTCGTGTTTGATTTCCAGCTTGGATGTTGAATGGTTTCAGGCCAAATATCGAGAAAATAGAATTGTTAAGCTTCTTGATTTGCAATAAAGTGAATACTCGATACGAATCATAAACAAGCAAGATTGTGATTGTGTTCATCGTTCCATGAGTGGCGGCGATATGCGCGGGAATGATGTTCAAGTCTGGAAATAGCACAAGATAGCATAGATATTGTTAGAACCAATAAAAATCTTATACACGGCCGGACATAATTTTAAAGGCAGTCGAATTTTTACGATCTTTTTTTTGAAAATATAGAATATCCAAGAAAATTGTCTTTTAGACATCATTACTATCATAATTTTACATCTTTAACTGGGAAAATCGAGAAGATGATAATTGGAACTTTTAAAGAAAAACCAAATTTATTCAAAAAGTGCCTCTAGCAAGTGGTCATAATTTTAAAGCCATTTGAAAAAAGAACAATTTTGCCTTCATCATTTAATGCCTCTTTTTTCATTTTTTAAATGTTTACAGGTCATCTTTTAGATATGGGTAAAGGAAAAAGACTTTCCGATCAAGAAAAAGGCATCATTGATGGCTTGAATCTGAACAACTGGAGTAACCGCGATATTGCGGCAGAAATCAACCGATCTCCTTCTTTAGTCGATTCTTATGTCAGGGATCCAACTGGCTATGGTATCAAAAAGCATTCCGGAAGGAAACCGAAAACTACAAAAAGGGGTCGATGAGCAATCATTCGAACGGCCTCAAACTCAACAACAACCTCCTCAAAAATCAAAGCAGATCTGAATCTGGGAGTCTCCTCAAGGACAATTCGAAAATTTTTATGAAAAAGCAAGTTGATCGCTCGCAGGCGCATGCGAAGAGCCCCCCTTTATTAGCGGTTGGACTTCGCAGACAAGAACCGCGAATTGATTGGAGCTCAGTAAGCCAATTAAATTTGTGTTTGAACATTTTTCATTGCTTTAGATCCTTTGGTCCGATGAAAAGAATTCAATTGTGATGGGCCCGATGATGATTGCTACTATTGGCACGACCTACGTAAAGACAAACTGCACTTTTCGCGGAGAAACTTCAAAGGAGGAGGAGTAATCTGCTGGGCGGCCTTCTCATTGACCGGACTGATCAAATTGGTTTTTGTTCCAAAGAAAATGAACTCGAGTGGAATGGGAAGGGAATCCCACTCTTGGACTGGCCAGCCAATTCATCGGATTTAAATCCCCAAGAAAACATTTGGGGCTATATGGTCAAAATTCTTTATGAAGGAAATAAGACTTATGGAAGCATCAGCTAGCTTAAAAAGGCAATTATTAAAGCTTGGCGGAGCGTCGATCAGAATCTCGTTAATAGCCTTGTGGGCAGCATGGACAATAGACTTTTTCAAGTAATTCAGCGTCACGGAGGTCCAATCGATTATTAATTTGTTAATTTTTATCATTATTGCTCATTTTGTTAAAATTGTTAACTTTTTTCAAATCCCTTTAAAATTATGACCACTTGCTAGAGGCACTTTTTGAATAAATTTTATTTTTCTTTAAAAGTTCCAATTATCATCTCCTGGATTTTTCCAGTTAAAGATGTAAAATTATGATAGTAATGATGTCTAAAAGACAATTTTATTGGATATTCAATATTTTCAAAAAAGATCGTAAAATTTCGACTGCCATTAAAATTATGTCCAGCAGTGTAGTTAGGTACTTACCTGCAATCCCGGTTAGCTCAAACAAATGCACGCCACAAAGCCAAGCTGCGGGAACAAAAAGCACCAAAAGGAAAACAGCACACTAAATTATTTCTGATCGTAAAATTGCTGCTTGCATTTATACCAAAATATTCAATTTTCGGAACATTTTGCTTTTCATTTCCAAAGTCTTGGCACTCATCAAATGCCTTTGAGAATGAAGACTCCAATAAGTTGGAATAATCAGATCTAAAAAAAGCTAAATATTTGTAAAAAGCAAGCTCACATTGTTTTGATAAACTGTTCCAACACTCACAAGAAGCCAAAAGAACTTCGCCCACTAGAAAAGCCGGCCCCAAAATGGTCATCAGCGTCCCAAGGGAGCCATCAGCGCAAAGCGAATAAGGATATTCATAAAACTGACTCAGTTCTGGGTATATCTAGATTCAGTTTGTAAATTCGATGCTCTTCAAAAAACAACAACCTTGAGACCTTCTTGTTTTGCGAGATCAGAATTGAGATTGACAAGGATCCAAAGCATAACTCTTGTTAGAAAGACCGCGTGGGCCACAGCTAGTACATGTACGCCGAATTGCAGATATGGGCCAAAAAGGAGTAAATGATCTTTGGGAAGGATCGTTTGTTGACGCTGAAAGAGTGCGGCTCCCATCGATGACATCATAGTTGCCAGTAGACCCCAGGCCACTGTCTAAATGTTACTATATTACTGGACTCGTTGTTATTATAGCAATAGCTTGAATAGCAATAACTTGAATACTTGAATAGATTATGCTGAATAGTTCAAACTATTAGGTTGTTCGCATATAAACGAGCGTTTTACTAAAACGACAAAATCTACCTTAAAAACAGAAAAAACACAGTTTAATCCAAATTATATTCACCATTATTATTGATTGCTTCTTGCCATCTTTTGCACAAAGAATTGATGCCGCTCTTGAAAAACTCAGCTGGCTATGACTC